GAGCTTATAATTTTGCAAAATGTTTTATCAGATGCCAATACAAGGTCACGAGGCGGCATACTAAATTTGACAACTGATATAGTACCTTTCAAAGAAAGTACTGATGAAAACATGTCTAGTATATATTTCTTAAATGTCTTTGTTTAAAATCAAAGGAAAAATAGTTGGTCTGTAGGATTACAATTAACTATTCAAATTGTAGGCTACGGCGGCACGAGCGGGGAGCCGCTACTGGTTAATAGAAATCTAATAAATAAATTTCTACATAACATATTAATAATGTTTGTTTTAAAGAAAACGTACTGTCTACTTTTAGTTTGCTCTTTAACTACGTGACTTCGGATTCAGTCGCCAGTTTTGGGCTCGGGCTAGTAATTTAACAGAAACCATTTACACGTCCTACTGACACGAGGTACGATTCAAAAGTGATTTTTTTACGCTCGTACGAACACCTATCGCGTGAGCGTAAAAAGTCTGCTGACCTTGAACTTTACCGCGGCGTACAAAGTCTGCCCGTGCGAACGGTCGCTTACGCGTTATTATATTAGTAAAGATATACAAATGTTAATGCAGAAAGTATAACGAACATAGATAATATTTTGCACCACAAGGCACACTCAGCTAACGATGTGGTGGGGATATTTAAACTATAAGTTTTTATCATTAGTATATATTTGCTATATAATTGCACTAACTAAAATAATATGAAAAAGTAATCTCAACAAATAAGTAAAAGAGGAACTATTAGTATGTATTGAAATAACTCAAATACTACTGGACCAGTTTTAAAAATTCTTGCACCATTTTTAAAGCTACGTTATCAGTCAATCTGGCTATCATACTAATATTATAAATGCGAAAGTTTAGATTGATGGATGGATGTTTGTAAAAGTTTGTAGCCTAAACCGCAGAACCGATTTCGATAAAATTTGGTACAGATGTAGAGTAAAGTCTGTAAGGACACATAGGCTACTCACTTTTGTTTCTTTTTAGTCCATTTGAACAGAGACGCGGGCGAAAGATAGTATTTTAATAACTATTCAATTTTAGGTGACGAAGTGTAACCCATGATTATGCAACGACTATATACGAGATACTTAAAGTAGAAGTAGTTAATGCGTATTTCCAAAAAAATAAGGTAATACAGTCTTAGGGATTTTAACATTTAGAAGAAACTTAAAAATTGGTTCGCAAATATACATATATGTAGGTAAATGACGACGTTACCTAAAACAATGGTTTAATCAAGCGAAAATTAATACTATTGTTCAAAATCGCAAGGTAACTTCACTTAAGATTTATATTGTTTGTTAATTTTGTCAATATTTGAACTATTTTAATTATTGAATTCAAGTAACAGACGTTTTGCGTCAATACGAAAAAAATTAACGGTATAAAAAGCTCTGGAAAACAGAACTTCATCATCAGTTCGGTTACAGCTCTCAGCAATATGAGAGTAACAACCTTTGTGATCCTGTGCTGCGCACTGCAGGTAAGACAGCCATTTTTTAAAGTATTAAGTTTTGTAAAAACCAACAGTTACACAATACATCATGTTAAAAAAAATCATAATTATCACCAGCTCACTATATGTCCCCATTAAAGGGCTCGGAGCCTAAACTAAGTAAGGGGTGACTAGCCTATAGTTAACCACGCTGGCCCATTGTATGTTGGTTAACTTCACACATATCTTTGAATTTTTTCGCCGATATGTACAGGTTGTATCACGATGTTTTCCTTCACCGTAAGAACGTTGGGTACATTATATACATATGAAATTCGAAAATCGAAAATCGTATTGGTACATGGCGGGGTTAGAACCCAAGACCTGTTTTACTAGTGAGTGACCTGACCTCACTACTCGACAAGTGCTTATACCTCTGAGGCACCGACGCTCTTGTTCATGACGACACAATTCATCGACAAAACAATATTTTATGCCAAAGTACATCTTTGTATAACTAATAACGTCTCATAAATTGTTCCGTTAAATCCGTTAGATTTAATATGTTGTCTCAGCATCAAAGAGGCTGCGTGCAACAGTTGAAGAAGGTCTTAGCAATATATGATGATCCTATATAGATTTTAAGGGAACGTTATATTCACTCTTGAACCAAATTAAAAACGTTACATATATAGCTAGTAAATGTTAAAAACACCGATGCAAACGATAATTATATTTATTCAGAAACTTACCGAATTTCTCTCTTTAGCTATATGCAGCTGCAGATGATAATGCAGTTTTGGATGAAGATATGACCCGATTTTTAGAGGGCAACAAAAACTTTCAAGAGACAACGGAAACAAAATCTGACGAAGTGATAAAAAAAAATGGCACGTTAGTGGAAAGACAAATAATAAAAAAAAAATACGTAGATAGATCAGGACATAAACATAACAAATCAGGTGAAAGGATTACTAAAACTTTCATAATAGAGTCAAGTCCTGATGGTGAAGAAACTATATATGAGACTGATGTCGTCGAAACGACTGTTGCGGACTCTGACCGAAGCAGATCAAGCTCAGCAGCATCGGCATCGTCGGCTTCTGAATCTGGAATCGGATTTGGAAGTAATGGATATAGCAGCAATAGTGCCAGAAATACTGGACTAGGAGGACAGTATACAAATGTTTTACGTGCACCATATGGACAACAGTCATCGACAGTCGTAGTTAACAGAGGAGGATCTAGTTCAAGTTCCTCAAGTTCAGCATCATCTTCGGGTGGATCTT